CAGGCCAAAAGATATTTCTTTCCACAATCAAAGGCTCTTTAGAGCAACCTCATGGTATGAATCAGTTTGGCGCCCTTGACGGCGGAACTTGCGATCTGGCTTTCTTTGGAAAGTTTTTTTGATGGTAGGAAACACATGCTGGCACAATTGTTGTGTTTGTAAGCATTTTCATGGAGAAAAATTGTCTTAGATTGCCAATGTGTGAAGAATTAGTTAAGATAACGGCATTGGTTTGCATTGTCCAAATTTGAAGGGTGGAGATGTTGCAGTAAGCTCAGGCTCACTTCATATTCGCGGTGTTTGGGTCTTCACGCTCGAATCGTTCATGTTATTGTCACTTTTAGGACTCAGACGCCCATTTCTCTGCAGTCGAGTATTCTGTGGCATATTTCCTTTTCATTTTTAGCTCCACAAAGGTATCTTTTGATCAAGTTTGGAATAGAAAAACCATCACGCTTCATGGGACAGGACGCCATTTTTGAATCCAAGTAGTTCGGCATATTCTCGCCTTTTTACCACCCCCCAAATATATGTAAACCGTCACTTTGACCTGGTAAACTTGTCGGGGAGGGGGAGAGAAAGTGTTTAATCCACGTTTAATGCATAAATTAATGTCTAAAAAAGTGAGTGAGGGATTTTGAATTGAATTTCGCCCCCAAACCCTAAACCCCATAGCACGACTTACGTCATACCATGAAGTAATAACTGTGATTTAAAATGAAGACGGGGGGGGTTAAACAACCAAAGACCCTAAACTCATTTAAGAAAGGAATTAGGAACATGCATTTAGATAAAACTTTTAGATCAATAGTACCACTACAAAATGTGTGACTCTCAAAGATTCGCATTTCTCCCAGCTAATTGTCCATGAATATTATCGAGGTAGCAGGGTATTAGAGTTAACGAGGGCTCGAGTTATCGGGGTTTACCTGTATCTCGTTGATGATATTCAGGCGACGTTTACATTTATTTAAAACAGAACACTTATCTATCATTTGTGAATTCCAGAGAATCACCGGGTAGCGCCGCTTAGCAGTGGAAGGATAGCTAGTACATAGAGCCCCAAAACGAACGCACAAGCACCACGTGTAACAATCCCAAGTGGTTTAATGTTATGTGATACAAAATGGAACGTAGCCAGGTAGCTGAATACTTGGTGTGATTTCGATAACAAATGTGGTAGAATTATGTGTGAGTGTGTGTGGTTCGAACTAGAAGGTAACAGAAAACGAAACGAAGCTAATTAATTGACTTACCAACGATGAGACAGCACAATGACCTATTCTTGAAATCAACTGAACTAATAATGAAGGAAACGATAAACTAAATCGAGCATAAACAATATAGGTAACTTACTTTGGTAGAGCTCCTAGCGTACTTGAAAGGCGTGGGTAGCGGAGTGGACAAAACAGTTTTACAATGAGTAGCGGAGCGCACGACCTCTCGACAGCGATCAAAAAATAGTTTTCTCTCTTTTACGCAAGCCCGTAATATGTGCGAATGACTGACATAAATTGCGTAACATTTTCACACCAATTACAGTAATCGACAAAAATAAACCGTAACGTAGATAAACCTTAACTATGCTTAGACAATAGGCAGTTAAGCAATAAATAATCTAAAGTACAAAGAAAATAAATAGCGTTTCAAAACTAACATCATTGACATTGCTTCTTCCTTCCTCTGACGCTCTTTTGCGTTAACTTCGTCATTTTCACAGTTGATTTTAAGTCCTTTATTGTATAAAGATTTGGCTTTCTGGAACTTACCTCCAAGGTCCTCCTCGTCACTTTCATCCGAAAATTCTTCAGTTTCTTCAATGGGTCCTTTTTTTGGTTTCGCTATGAATTCCAAAACAGAAAGAAATTCGTATGAAAAGTTCACCTTTGAAATTCAGTCTCGGCAGGCGCCCTTCAATGCATTAGTTTATCTTTCTGAGTAAACTGGAATTCGAAACTCTGCAAACCTTCGATCAGTGCTGAATGTGATGGACTAAAGTAAAACTTGTGTTACAAGGAGGTTTTGGCTAATCTGATTAAGAAATGTTATGGCAGATAATTTTTCTTACATTATGACTTTTGTCTGTCTGTTCTTACACATTAAATAGGGTATATGTACATGTATTACAAAAGGAACCGTTCATTTGCCCGCAGGGTGGCGGAAACTATATAATAAAAATTGGAAGTACCTGTTTAAAACAAGGATGGGGGTCAAAGATATATTTGAAAAAGTTTCAGTTATTTTTCTTTGATTTCTTACAAAAGTTATTTCGTTACAACCACTAGACTCAGTCAACCCTGGCATTTGGCATTCTACAAGCTGGGTTGTGCAATGAAAGTGTTTCCGATTCATACTCTTTGAGACAGACAAAGGTCAAAGTTGTTTTTTCCATGTAAGCTTGACTCGTTCGATTGGGAAAACTTGTGAAAATGGACGAGAATTGAGTCTGGATAAGAACTCATTTTCTCAAGATCCACGAGGCTGGGCTTCCGTACATTTCACAGTTAGAATCTCGAAGAGGGATAGGTATTTGAAAAGATCAACTTGAATGTATTGTTCGTCAATACACAGCATGTTTTCTCTTTAATAAATGTCTGCAGAATACATGCAGCGCCAAATTTTTTTTCGCAAGGACAAGTGATGATAGTAAGCAAAAAAATTAAGTATAAATGAACGACCGCTTGGACTGGTTTCCGTTGTAAAACTTTGAGAGGAATCTGTAGAAAACGCACTAACTCACGTTTCCGTTTAAATCATCTATTTTATTCTAGACAAAGCAACTCTCCGCAATCACATCTTCAAGCCAACGAACGAGCTAGGCAGATTAAGACCATCTTTTTTCCTAACTAAATAAAGGTCGAATCACGAGTTTTTGGTTTCTTATTCACATGTTTCCAGTCTTTTTAAGGTATCGCAACAGCTTGACGAAATTATTGTCTACAGTTTCCAACAGAATCCGCCCTTTCATAAATACCTACCGGCGGAAAACTGTCTGTTATGTGATCTGAACGTTAAACTGTCGATTAGATTATCTCTGGCCTTAATATGCTCCTCTGCCGGATTCAGGATTATGCGGGAGACATTTGTAATCATTGCGCGGAGTTTACCAAAGAAATTACTTTAGAGATCAAGTTGTCATACAAAAGTTTAGTTGCCTGTCATTTTTTTATTTGTTGCAGACCAAAAGAGATTTTCTTTCCACCAAAACTATGTTTTAAACTGAAGGCGGGGTTAAACAACCAGAGACGCTAGACTCATTTAAGAAAAGAATTAGGAACATTCATTTTTAGATAAACTTTTAGAACAATAGTACCACTACCAAATGTGTGACTCTTAAGGATTTGCATTTCTCCTAGCTAATTGTGTATGAATATTATTTCATAATTTGGAATCTAAGGATATGTTTTTTTCATTTGATTATACAGAGATTTGGCAAGTAAGATGTGACTGTTGTTATAAGTGATTTAATTGTTAAAGTCATGATTTTTCAAGTTATTATTACCTTTATCATTATCACTATTATTATATGTTATAGAAAAAGAAATGTAGGGAATAAGAATTTTGAAAAAAATTATTAGAACCGTATACAGGAACCAACTGATCATATTGAAACTAAATGTCCTGTTACCTCATGCACACTAAAGTTAAACACGTTTTTAAGCTGTTTTGTTAGACAAAGTCTAAAAATGGTTTCTTCATAGAAGTTACTAATACTGATGTTTTTCGACTTCAAATTTCACGCAATAAAAATATAGGTTAGTGATTACTTGAACCCTCTAAAAAATATTTCAATTTTCTGTGCCTGATTCTCATTCAGTTAAACCTGATTTAATGAATATGTTTTGGTGTGAATAGAGAAGATAAGCCCTTCACGTTTATTCTCAAAATTCAAGACCTTCTAGGGAAACTGTGCAATAGGAAGTATTTAGCAGAATTCCTCAAGCACAGCTAAATCATTGTTAACGACAGATATTATATCCCAGGTGGAAGCTATGAAGAAATATGCAGAAACAACTCTGTGAGAAAATTTGTCATCGGACAATTACTAATTCCTTCGAAAATACGACTTATTAACTCGTTGCTTGTCACTACAATGAAATTAGGACTCCCGCTGTTCAATTATGAGATCCCCTACAAAAATTACCTGTAACTTACATTCAAAACTAAAAATTAACAATTTCTTCAAAAAATAATTATCTGCACAGGAAATATTTAATTCGTAACAAATATGTTCATTTACAAATTGAGGTTGGTCTGGAAACAAGCTATGATCTCCGTGACTGGGTAATTCTCTCCGAAATACGTTCTGCTAATGATGTAGCTACGAGTTACTTTCAAATTGACAAAAAATTGGGCAATTTTATACAGGCTCAGGTATCATGGCCCCATCAATACACTCAAAAAGCCCTCTTATACTCTTAGATATGCATATTTAAACTATTCAATGATGAATTGGGGTACTTTGTGCTCCACGAAGCTCTATCTTTTGTGCGCATCTAGAGAAAGTGCAACAAAACATTATATTTTGCTGACTTAACTAAACTTGGATGATATTTTTATATGGAAAATTTCCTTTTTTGAGCAGAAACTACAACATATTAAAATAATAATCCCTGCTGCTCTCACTGATCTATTTTTAACTGCTTTTGAAGTTCAAAACTATCATTCCCGATATGATTTTGACGAAAACTGGTGCACACCCGTTTCCAGAACAAATTATGGCTTAACTGAAGAAGCCTATGGCTTTGGCGTTAAAAATTTACCACAGAAAATTTAAGAAGATCACAAGAAATAGTATATTAACATAGAAAGAATTTGAATGTTGTGTAATATAATATAAACTAATTTAAACACTTTCGGTACCTATATCTGGCTATCAGTGAGGAACTAGTACTTTTATTATTTTTTAATTGATTGAAAGGCATGCATTACATTTCAACTTGGATCACTTCCCAATGGCCAACTCGAAAGCTTTTACTCCTTTGGCCGCTACACTTTTCCTCTTATTTAAAGTAATTTTGCATTTCTTATTTATTTTTTTCTATGACTTTGTAGTTTTGTTAATTAAGTGAGATTTATATAACGAAAATAGGTGTAACTACATAAAATTGGTACATTTATATATAATATAATAAAAAAAATTGGTGTTGATGATAATCCACGGTGTGGAGTCAGCGGCATGCGATTTAAAGCAATCAAGCAGCAGTAATGCGGTGGTTTTATTCTGCT